CAACTAAAGCATTTCAGTAAAATATCTGCTCATAGTTAGTAGACATTTCAAAAGCTGGCCCAACTTAAATTTAGGATTTTCCTTTTAAAAAACAGCAGCGAGCAAGTAATGCAAGACTACTAGGTTTTTTTTAGTATAGGTTTCCTATTCAAGCATTGCATGCACAATATAGTACTATTGTCTACTTTCTGCCTTTTTCCTGAGATAAATATAGGTTACACTGAGGCTTAAATGGCTTTACTGGCACACAAGCAATTCAGATCAAGTGATAGACTCTATTGTAAAATAAAACTCCTTTTTCCCCTGTAGTTTCTCTGGAGAGACTTAAGTAACAAATTTGATATTGACTAAAATCTGTGTAGTGCCAAGCCATTAATAAGCTAAGTTCTGCCTACAATACAGACTGATGTTTATATCTTGCACTCTGCATGCATTTAAAGAGGGAGAACTAGCTATTCTCCAGGAATCACTTAAGGCACAGACTGCCACCTAGTGATTTCAATGACAACATACAAATATGAAATGCTGCAGGAAAAACAAGAAAAGGAGTTGAACCCTTCTATTTCAAGAAAAAGCTGGAAATATCCTTGTATTTTCACATCACATTATTTACTGTAATCATGTATTGCTATTTTGCTAGCAAGTGAAAAAACCTTTTTAATAACGCAACTTTGTTCTCTCAGTCCCAAGCTCATCAAATGCCCCATTTACATGCACTGCCTGGGACTCCTCTTCTCCAGTTGCATCCTCTGCCATAAAACTCCCTTGCACTTGACATCAACCATTCTTGCCAGTCTTTAATAAAATATCTTCTTACTCAGATCTCATATTCAGTGTTCCATCCTTGTCCACTTTGATCTTTCAAGCAACTTCAGTCAGACTGCAAAATTTTTTAGCTTGGACCTTGAATTTTGAATGCCTCTGACTTCCAATACTCCATCCCCTGCCAGTTCTCCTCTTGCCTCTCTAACTTTCCCTTCTGTATGCTCCTTGATGGATCCTCCTGATCCTCTACTCCAGCTTTCTGTGAGGGTCCTACATGATCTATCTTTGGACCCTGGCTATTCTTCCTTGATAATCTCATCCGCCAACAAATCCAACTGTCTCTATGTGGATGACTCACAGGTCTAACTCTGTACTGCAAACGAGGCATCTCTCCTTCTAGACTAGATCACAGCCTGTTTCTCCGTCTAGTTCTCTCCTCAGAAAACTTAACAGGATCAAAATAAACTCTCACAAAAGCTCTCGACTATTCTACTCTACTGTTCAGACTCCCAGGTTCAACTCAGACAGCTCCAGGTTCACACTTTTACACTGTCTATGCTATATCTAGCCATAAAAATACAAACATGCACCTCATAAAAACTGCGCCCATTTCCATTCAGAAATGCAAATATCTGCCCAGCCTATCACTTTGACCACATCACCTTTCTCTGCGTCTCTCACTGACTCCCCTTCTATATCAAAACAACCAGAAGCCCTCCACAGCCTCTCCTTTCCCTGCCCATCACAAACTTTATTCAGTAATAATAGGTCTCTTTCTCCCCCCACCCATCAGATAGTCCCTATCATCTGCTTGTTAACTTTTGAAATAAGCACTTCCATATTCTCTTCCACATAGCCCCTCACACTTGGGGCTCAATCCTTGCAAACATGTGCAAAGCCACCCCATTATCCTCATATGCCTTATTAATCAATTCTTTGCCAGGACATCTACAGAAGTCTTGACAAGGATTAGGCTGTTTGTGTGCTATGGCTACTGCCCATCATGCTGACCACTCTTGTCACATTATTTCCTTGTGCTCCTCCGCCTGTATCCATCTGCTGTCTTAGACTGTAAGCTCTCTGGGGCAGGAATCATCTTTCTGTGGTGTCTGAACAGTGCCTAGCACAGGAAGGTCCTGGGTCTATGGCTGGTGTTCCTAGGTATAACAGTAACAAATATTATTAAAATAATTACAATGAGCGTCAAAGGAGATAATAAGCCCTGTATATGCAAAAAAGTAGTCAAAACTTTACAATTAAGGGATGCATACAGGCTAATAGGATATTTGCTTGAGAATTCCTCTGTTCCTGTTTGTCATTCTCACAGCAACCAATTGCAGTATCATAAAGACCTTATTTTGATGCAAAAACTATATTCATGCTAAAAAGGTTTTCCATAATATGAAGCACTAGCAAAATTGTCTTAGAGACAAGTCCTGAAGCCTAACCAACCCACTAAATGTTAAAAAAGTGTGGACCTGGGGGGTGGGGGGGAGGGGACGTAAAACAAGGAGGATGAAGAAATATGCAGAATCACCGAGTCAGAAAGTGGCTGTAAATGGACCTTGCATTTCTCACAGAAGAAAAAGCCCGATGTCCTGGGATCCTACAGACAGACATTTATACCCACTGCCCAAAACTTCAGAGCCTGTGAGGAATGCCAGACCAAAAAAAGTGCTAAACAGGTCCCATTCCGCACCCCACCCCCAATCACTATGTCCAGATGTAAAGCCATAAATAGATGTCTTGTTTGAAGGCAGTCCTGATTCTCCCAGGTTTTGACTCCCATCAAAGCAGGAGTGGCACAGCCCTTAATGCACAAAGACCTTCCAAGCTGAATTGATGCTCCTCTGCCAGTTAGTGGCCAAGGAGAATATAGAGGTTGACAGGCTTGTCCCTGTAATGAACCACAATTAAGTTAAATAAACAGCAACTAACTTAAGATAACACTATTTTCTCTGTGTGCGTTATTTCATCCAGCATATTTTACACATACTTGATGTAGGACAATGGGTGTGGACTCCGTAGGACACCAGGACAAAAGTCTCTCAGTGCAACCTCTATTTACAGCCTAAGTTGTTTAACTTAACTGTGGTTCATTACAGGAGCAAGCCTGTCAGGCTGCATCCTCGCCCTAGCCACCTACTGACAGAGATGCAGCAATACAGCTTGGAAGGGCTACATGTGTAAAGGGCTGTAACTCCTATTTTGATTAGGCTCAAGATCCAGAACCCTCAGGCCCTCCACAAGTGAAATTCTTCTCTCACAAGTGATTCTCAGTGCAGGTGCCATGGCACCCTGAAGTGCCTAGAGACCTTTCATGTTGTGAAATTAGCAACATTAATACTAAAGCATGTGCAAATGTAATTCACAGGATATATTCCTATTTGAAATCTCTAGATGGTGTTAAGAACTTTCTAACTTTATTGTGGTCGCTCCAAGGGTTTCAACAGAATAATTGCTGTACTACTTTTCTGTAGTCAAAAAAAAAAAAAAAAAAATGAAAACTAATAACTGACAACTTCCTGAGGGGTGCCTTGAACACCAAGGATGGATTCTGTCTGGAATGATTGCTCTCAAAAATGCCATGAAAGTTGTATGGTATGCTATATAGAATATCCTGACATTATCAGCAGAAGCTGTTAAAGAAACCGCACACCTACCCACCCACCCCACCCTGCAGTGTGTAACCAAAAATGACCAATTAATGAATTTTAATTGTTCAGAGCAAGTTTAGGAAGGACTTGTGAATACCCGAGGGAAAAAAAAAAAAACAAACAACAAACAACCAAAACAGACCTAAACAAAACATAAGAGCCTGATTATTCCCTCAAGTGTTAATTAGAAATGACATTTAATTGCACCAGTGTAAGGATGAAAAGAATCAATTGCCTATTCCTAACCTTTCTCTTATGCAATTGAAAAATTCCAAGTCCAGATTCCAAAAACTTACTAAAAACAAACACCCACCTCCCCAGCCTTCCTGATGGGACCAAAAAGCCCCCACAAACAAACAAAATGTTGAGCACTCATTCCACTTCAGAGATTCAAACAGCACTGCTGATTCCCCTCTTGCCCTCACCCCCTTCCCTTCAGTAATAGTTATGACTTCTGAGTGATTTAAATAATCTCCTTTCCGTTCCTGAGTCTAACTTCAAATTCATCTAAGGACCAAGGTGAAGTACTCAAACTAACATCTTAATTTTCCACACTTCTTCAGTTATTGTAGGTTAAGAAATCTTACAGTAATTTGTTACAAAACTGTAACAATCGTTTTCTTAAAATCCTGTACATCAGGCCAGAAAATCAACGTTATTTAAATTGTTCATTTAGAAAAGGGTTTAAAAATTAAGTTTCCTATAACTCCCTGCTTCTGTTCCATTATAGATATAATGTTGTAAATAAGAGTTATCTTTTCTATTTGCTAAAGACATACAAGTGGGAAAAGTGATTGAATGGTTGCTAGCTGTGGGTAAATATAGATCATATCTGATCTAACTGTAGATCATATAACTTGAAGCTCTAAGTTATGACAGGCTACCACACCCCTCTGGCAAATCTGTGATGGTTGAAAACAAAAAGTTAAGCATCATGAGGCCTAATTCAGTAATTTGAAAATTACAATTCATAAAACAAAGAACTGTAGTAAAATTGCATTCAAAACAATTTCCACCTTCAGCTATATCAAAATAAAGATGCAAACATATAAGCCCAGAAATATGGAGGCAATCTGCCCATCTTCAGACTAACATGGCTAATGGTAGGGCAGGGTATTACCTTAAAAGTCCATTCCTAGGACTAGGTTGTTCCTACAAAAGCTCATGCCTCTCTGAATTAGCCTGCATAGGTACCCATACATAAGACTAGGGGCTGCTATGACACACTGTAATTACAGTGGATTAATCGAGTCTGCTAGAGCATGCCAGCCTCCACTTCTCATGTATCGGCATCCCCACACTTCAAAATAGAGGCGGGGCACTTCATCTAAAGCTTGTCGAACAAGTTTTAGTTAAAGCACCCCTGCTGCCATTCTGCAGCGCAGGTACCCCGATGCACAAGATGCTTCGAGTGCTTTAATTAGAGCGGCTCTAGGAGCTGCTCCAATTAAAGCACCCGGTGCTAACCTCCCCTGCGTTCTGCATATAAGCCCTAACAGTATGATCCCCTCTCTAGATTCATGACTGAGTGATGGATATAAAAATCTAACATTGGTTATGTAGGAGCAGCTAACTCACCATATTTGTCTCGCAAGCCAACAGTACACCGGAAGACTCCACCAAAGGCTACATCTTCACCAAATATTACTGGGGAGGGAAAAAAGACATTAAAGTAGCTTATTTAGGAATGCAAACAGACCAGTCTTATATGTAGGAATATGCAAGTATTCCTATTTATTCTATGTTAACCATTTATATGTAGTTATTGTAAAATTTGGGAGAGGATTAACTACATTTTAGTTTACATATTGTATGTTTGAATGTTAAATGTTTTAGCAATAATTTTTAAACACACTAAAAGAACCCACACATTCCAATTACTGAGGAGACAACACTGTGAAATGCTACAACTGTATGAAAAGTAACTGAGTTATAAAGTTTCAATCTACACAAGTGTTTTAAGAATATATCAACAACACAGATCAAAGAAGTCCATCCAGATTTCCCTTTCTACCTCTTGCACTTTTAGAGACTCAGGAACTATTTGCTTCACATAAACAACCCGAGTCATCAAAAGTGTCCATGCAATCGATGGTCTAAAATAGAATGATTAAAACTGTTCTAGCTCATATTTACTTATTTTGGAAGCAAGTCTGTCATGCCACTACACCTAAGTTAATACAAACCAATATTCAATTCTAAAGAGAGAGAAATGTATACCATTAACCAGATGTCCAGTGAACTTAAGAGTTCCAATTCAATTTTCCATTTTTTCCCCTCTCGATTAAAAAGAATCTAGTAGAAAAGACTCTGCAATCTGCCGCCTTCTACCTCCCTGGACCACCAACTTTCAGTGAATTCAGTTATTATGTATTTCTCAAAAACACTAGAAATCATCTCCCCAAATGTTAGTCCAAAGACAAAGCAAACGCTTCCACACATTCCACCAGTGTGCTTTAATCCCAGGCTGAAGGGACCTCCTCTATGGAAGGGAGTAGTCCAATAATTAGACTACGAACTGTGCAAATTCAGTTTTCACTATTTGTTATGTGGTCCATCTGTCCACTGGGAGTATAATGGACCTTTAGTAGTTAAACACAAATTTTAAAATGATCTAAGCCATGTTTTTTAACAGCAAAACAAAAGTAGTGATGTAGAAACAACCAACGGAATGCCTCCAATTTGTTTTTCTACATGTCCTTGTTGGCTGGCTGGTGCATGTGCATACACTATGAAAACCTTTCCACTATAACATGGTTGCCAGTTTTGTACTAGTTAACAGTATGATGGGACAGATGTTTCCTATGCTAGTAGACATCTACATCTAGTTACAACATCTGGCTCTGGGCTGCCTGCTGCTGGCACTCATGCAGCCTCTGGACATAGGGTGAGCTGGGGCAGCAACAGCCGCAGCAGTGATAGTGCTTCCTCTTCAGGCAGGGCCACCATCTTTACAGCCACCTTTCACAGACATCCTAGATGTGCTCTGCAGACCATGGGTTGAAAGTGACTGGTCTAAAGGGTCTACGAAAGATGACTACAATCAATGAAAAGCGTGTGAATACCAGCACTTACAATTCAAAGTAATCAGCAAGTCCATAAAAAAAAAAAAAAAAAAAAAAAAAAAAGGTTTAGGGATCTGCAGGCAAAAAAAAAAAAAAAAAAAAAAAGGTTAAAAAAAAAAAAAAAAAAAATCACAGTCCTAAAACATGATATTTGGTAGCTTTCATCTTCACACACAGAACTGCAAGTTGTTATTAGCCAAAGTTAGTTTAAAAAGTTTGGCTGCACTAGTGTCAGTGCCTTTGTGAAGTAACTACAGATCATTTACATGAGATCATTTCTTTTCAGTCAACTTTGCACGTCAATATTTTTTCAGAGGTAGAAAACCATTAAAACTCTGCAGCCTTTAACCTGATGACTTGTTAAGCCAACAGCCTCAGAAGTTCTCAAAGCACTGGAACAGGCTACTTACTGTGGAGCTGACCAATTAGCTCCTCAGTAAAATGTCACCATCTACAGGTGCAATGCTATTAGGCTGGAGTAAACTAATTAACTCCACTGTAGGATAGTATGTGTCTGGCAGTACTATCTTATAGCAGACTTATTTACTTCGGCACAACACACATGTAGACACTAATAGGGCTCGCTGGGACACAAGGGTGCTTCATGCCCAAGCCAGTCCCTCTGCCGCATGCTGAGTCAGGTTGGAGCAGCCCCAGACTGGCAGGCTGACCCTCGGGACCCCTTGCTGGGGCTGCACCATCCCATCTCAATGTGCTACGGTCTTAGGCATATGTGCAAACACTGTGCCCAGGAGCAATAAACTCCAGTGTAAACTACACTGGAGTTCATTGCATCATATTAATAGCACATGTAAATGTGTCCCCTTAGCAGTTTTTAAGACCTGGGTAGACAAAGCCTTGGCCGAGATGATATAGCTAGGGATGGTTCTGCTTTGAACAGGGGGCTGGACTAGATGACCTCCTGAGGTCCCTTCCAACCCTAATGTTCTATAATCCTTTATGCCATCATGAAAGTTTAAAGGTAAATAATTTTGAGGAGGAAAAGTGGTGATTGTAACGATTCCTTCAGTTCACCATTGCCTGTGTAAGCAGCTGACAGGATTCAGTGACCCAAGAGGCACACTCCAGACTTCTAGTTTTAAAGAGGCCTATAAGACCAAGTGTTTACAAGTACGCTTTTTGATTTTAAAATACATAGGTTTTTAGACAATAGTTGAAAATTAATTTCTTTACTTGCGTCACAACCCAAAGTTGTGGTTTTTTGTTTTTGTGTGCTTCGGCACCGCTAAATTATGTTCCCGCCAAATTGCAGCTTTTTTGCACGGTAGAGTTTTCTGCTGCAGTAGGAGAACCCGCGTGCAAAAGAGTACTTCCTGCCATTTGTAGCCTTCTTTGCACGGTGCATTTCTTTTGCATCATAGTGATGCACGGTGCAAAGGAGTTCCCACCATTTGTATTTAGATTCGTGCCACATTATTGGCCGGTTCTAAACGTAGGCATACGTGGCGGCTAGCTATTGGCTTTTTAGCCGTACAAAAAGGTTGGGGAGTTTTTGG